CTATGTATGTACATATATATGTATTTACGTATGCGTGTACATGTATATGTACATATATATGTTCGCTAATTTTACAAATTTCAAACTATGGTCAAACTTTGCTCCTATACACTTTAACACAGCTGGCTAATATAGGCTCTTCATATTTAACTAATTTAGATTAGGGCTGGGAAATTGATGTACAGGAATAAGTTAAGCTGATTATGGATAATTTTCGAAGAAATATTAGTTGCTTCAACTTCTTGCCGTGGTCGACCTTGCTGATGGAGACTACTGTGCTATGCTGTTGTGCTATCGTAATGGGTTTTGAGCGCTTTAATGTGAGTGATGATTTCGAACAGTAAACTGAGAATTGGAAAAGCTGTTGGCTTTGAGTTCCGCTATCGGGCATAGCTGGGCAATTCAGCTATTCGACTAGCAAGTCAGATTTGAAAAGCTGCGAAACACCAATTTTGGATTGCTTTGGCTTGGGTGGTTTGTTATAGCCTACTTAACGTTTTCCGTCTTTGACAGTTTGGGATAGTTTTGCGCAAACGACTGGTGGTATACCTACCTATTCTATGAGGTTTACTTCAGAGTATCAATCATGATTGGAAGGAGGATGTAGGAAAACCTTTGGGTCCAATCCCTAGATTAGTTATTTTTTAAACCATAAACTCAAGGCTTGTTGCACCAGTGGGATACGCTGTTCAAGTAACATTTTTTAAAATCATTCTTGAATATTTGAAATATTGTTTATTGCGTACTTTGATAAAAGCAGAACTCCGACCTAAATTTGTTTCAAAACAAGGAGACTTCTTTTGAAACAGTGACAAGTATCACTCCAACCAGTGTAAGGCCGTAGGCAACCGCTAACCAGGTCAAATTTCGTCGACCCTGAATAGGGGGTAGTAAGAGATGTTCTGGGTTGGGAAAAGACCCGGTCCTACTGTGATCTCTTTAAAGTAAAAAATGCTCCAGCTCGTTACAACCAGGCCTGGAGCCATTGTGCAGATTGGATATGCAATTGCTTGTTCCAAGTTATCGATAGCTGTAACGAATGCGCTCATTCCAATGGAAAATATGATGCCACCCAGTATTGTGGGAACAGCTCCGCTTGGATTAATCCACGGCTTATTTCGCCTAAGAATGAGTTAACTCGTGTACAACTGTAAGAACCTACTACATTATAATTGTGCTTACATTATTAGGGAGTAGACGATAAAGATGCACACGGCAGTGCAAAGCACGCCACAGTAGAATGAGAACAGATACGAAATACTGTCTGCTGGAGCATTGGGATACTCATGTGGATGACTCTGAAGTAAAATAAAATTTATTTTTAGGAAAAAGACGGTCACTCAAGAAGTTGTTGAAAGATAAGACCCTCATGTAGCTGATCGGAATCCACATCGTTCCATAAAACAATCCAGAAATCATTGCGCATAGAAAACTTCTAAAAATTGTAACATAGGAAGTTTCTAATTAACTTTTTTACATGAACAACAAACGATTTGTAGGCCGATAAGGTATGAAAAGAACATTTACGGAGATTCGTATGGGATAATTAAGCCATTTCTTTCCTACTATTGAAAACAACTTTTTTCAAAGAGAAGCATCATTCTGCTAATGAAACTTAATGTAATTATGGGTGAAGATACTTGCAAAAGATATGAACCCACAATGCTCTTTCCGTTAGCGTAATACCATGCGCACTTGTGCCACTTTCGTCAACAACCATTGAACTATCCTGGATTGGTAAATGAACTAATCACAAATGTAGACCAACGAAACTAACTTTCCCGTTCCTATCCATATCAGCGTTACCGTGGGCGTTGTTCTTTACAAGTAAATACATTGATCCACTGAAAGCACATGTTATTGTGAAGGGAATGATGTTGAACGCTCTGGAAGACTAGCTTTTTAAGGAATCGTTGACGGGTATTTTGATAGTTCGTGTTTTCTTATCTGATGAGCCGTCAGTATTATTTAAAATCACAAACGTACAATTTCAACCTCTTGGTTACCGGAACGTAAAGTTTTTCCAGCCGCAAACCGCGCATAAGTGAGAAGCGGTATTAGCGTGATGCAAAAAGCTGCAAAACAAAAACGTTCGTGATCTTTAATTTTTTTGGCCTTTCATAAGTTGGAACGATTTTGCTACATCTTAAACGGCAAGAAGAAATACAATGGCAAAACATAAAATCATAGCTAATTCTAATTTTCTGCTATCAAACAATAAAAAATATGAAATTGTTACTAATATCCCATGATTCTCTTCTAACGCTCATTGCCCCC